GTGTCAATCTTTTACAAAACTTGATGAAAGTTCACACAATTTGTTAAATATTGCATTGCTTTCGGGTTCTGAGCTACATATTTATGTAAACATATATAAAGTCTGAAATCTCTAGGTTATCGGCAAGTTGCTTAAAATCCGATTTCCAACTTTGTACTGAAATAAAGATAAAAAAAAAGCGTGTTGATATAAACGTGTTAAAAAAATAGGTAAAAATCGGCTCGGTGCTACATATTTGTCGGTAAGTGTCAAGTGTTAGCTCTATTTTATAACCATTAAGTAATAAATTGAATGACTTTTATTGCCTATAATTAAAAAATTTTTTCGTTAATAGTTGGATTTGTGGACAACACTTCTTATTGTCCCATTCCATACCTTATATCATCATATATTATCATTTCATGAAATATTTCACTTTATTTAAACTACGAGTATAAAATCCGTTTATCTATTTCGCTGTGTTGCACAAATGTTTTTTTTTTNACTTTTATGTTAGGGCGTGCGTGTTATGTTAGCACACTTGTGTGGTGCTGCAAGGCGTATACGTTACATACAAATCTACGGCTATATGAGCACAAGTTGTAATTTAGACTTTTTAGTAGATATATCTTATTTAGTTTTTCATTTAAATACAATTTCACGATGGAATCTTTTTCTTTATGCAAAACTGAACATAATACATTTTCCAAGATAAGGGTTCCCCCATTTTCGACCTACAATACGTTTTTGTCGAAAAATGTAACAACTCGTGGGATTTGTTCATGTGCATATACTGTGAATGCACATTTTAAGCGCAGTAAATGATATTGAACACAGCGCCATCTAACGATTTGCATGTAGATGTAATAAGCACAAATTGAAATCGTGTCAATCTTTTACAAAACTTGATGAAAGTTCACACAATTTGTTAAATATTGCATTGCTTTCGGGTTCTGAGCTACATATTTATGTAAACATATATAAAGTCTGAAATCTCTAGGTTATCGGCAAGTTGCTTAAAATCCGATTTCCAACTTTGTACTGAAATAAAGATAAAAAAAAAGCGTGTTGATATAAACGTGTTAAAAAAATAGGTAAAAATCGGCTCGGTGCTACATATTTGTCGGTAAGTGTCAAGTGTTAGCTCTATTTTATAACCATTAAGTAATAAATTGAATGACTTTTATTGCCTATAATTAAAAAATTTTTTCGTTAATAGTTGGATTTGTGGACAACACTTCTTATTGTCCCATTCCATACCTTATATCATCATATATTATCATTTCATGAAATATTTCACTTTATTTAAACTACGAGTATAAAATCCGTTTATCTATTTCGCTGTGTTGCACAAATGTTTTTTTTTTTGGTTGCAATAAGCTCTTCAGATTTTCTGTGTAAAAAAATCAATGATAATTGGCAGCAGCCGTAATGAGCGGTTTATGCTTAAACATTTATTTGTATTCATACTTAATTTTGGTAAATATTTTTTTCTCATTTCCAACAAAAATACTTAATATATTTGTAATAAAGTTTTTGGTAGAATAGTTTAAATTTTGCGAATTTCTGAACTTTTATTTAGTAAAGTGAAAGTATTTATTTCTACAATAACTAACAGAGCATGTATTTATTGATAAAAAATATCGTACTATTAGTTTTTTATCATTTTTCCAATCACTATATATATGTATATTTAAACTAACCGCTTTTATTGATTGCATAAATGACTTTTCAGTTGAAATGCTTATGTAAATATTTTGCGCAAAATTCATAAGAAAAATGTAAAACAAATAAAGTTGCTCATTATGCGACTAAATACTTTTTTTGCTAACTATTGCAGGTATTTAACAAATATGCAGTTTATAGCTCTAATTAATTCGAATTGCCTCCCTTTATTTTTGGCATTTCGTACCACTTTTCGGACGGCGTACCGGACTTGGTCTATAAAAGGTTAAATATTTTTAGAAAGTTTCCATCATATTGGAATTTAAAAAAATGCTTCGAACATTTAAAAGCTAAAAAATCAACGATGCTTTTCAGTGTTTCCAAAAGTCAAATAAGAAAAGTATCCCCAAGTTTCTTAGAAAGAATTGAGTACAGTAATTAATAAAAATTTGCATTCTTAGCTTACTCATTTGAATACTAAATTTTAGAATAGAATTCTGGCATGACTTTTAGTCATAAATCAAGAGGAATACTTCTTCTTTAGAAATTGGAAAATCTTGCCTAAACACCTTCTTTTGGACTTATTCGGTGCTTGGCAGATGCAAATCAGATATTCTACGATATATTTTGTAAGGAATTTTCATCCTTACTTCTCATATTTGGTTTGGACACCGAAGAGATCACAAAAATTAGACTCGATTTTCTCTAATTAAAATTTTTTCTGAAACTTCGGTTGGTCCATGCCTTTAAGTGTTTAGCAAGTTAATTTCAACAATTCATATCCCTGAACTATGTACTTAGAGAAAATGCGGACCACAGGCGGCCGCTGTGCTGTAGTAGTTAGCAGTGCGCGCTACCCTTCCGCACGGCCTGGGTTCAAGCCCTGTATTTTTTCCCTCTGTTTGAAATTATTTTTCATCAAAATTAAAATAAATTAAGAAAATTACCTCATCTGGAAACCCAGTATACAGATCCAGAATCTATAACCCAATATTAAATAGTGGTTTTTTTCTTGTGTCATTTCAAAAGTTTCGATTTTTGTAGCGCAACTTGTATGGATTCTTAGCAAATAATCCCGGGATTTTCGGGATTTGTAGTTTGCACGGATGGCAGTAATAGAAACTCCTTGTCTTGACCAGTATTGGCTATATTTCTTTTTTCATTTAATATTTGATACTTTTTTTTTAAAAGACTAGCTCATTATACATATAACAACGTGCGATAGTAAATTTTACATATACAAATCAATATATTCGCGAAACCATCGGCCAAATATAGAAAAGTGCGTTTTTAGTTTTTCACTCTGACGTCAGTAATTGAAAAATGATTTAAAAAATTCAGTGAAATGTGCTGAAAGAAGAAGTATGGGTATTCAATTAAAAAGAGAAAATTGTGCAGAATTTAATCAGATTCAATTTTTTGGTACATATTTAAGGACTAGTAAGTATTGAAAATGTGCTTTTAAAATTTCATCCTGGAAATTTCGCAATATTTTACTTTTGAAAAAATTATACGTTAAGGACTTATGTAAACTCGACAACATCCTCGAATTTCGTCCTTCTAAATTTATCAGCTTAAAAAAATACACATTCGTTCTTGTGAATCCAAAAAAATTAGTTTTTTTTTTAATTTATAGAAATTTCCTCTTTCATCTGTTACCCATTTTCTATTCTACATTGCGTTGAATTTTTAAAATAATTTTTGGAATTCATCATATCTTTGAAATTACAAAGTCCTTTCAAATAAATCCTGACGTTAGAGAGAAAAATTAAAAATTGTCATAACGCCATCCCGAAAATTCCAGGATCGTATAAAGTGAAAAAATTAACATCCCTAGTACATACATACATATGTAAATAGCTTTATTTTGATTTTTGATGTTCGACCACCTGTAAGTTTACTTGCACAAACATATTTAACACTACTCAATTTCATTCGTACTCGAAAATTCGTTTAGCGTAAAATCGGTATTTCACCTTTCAGTCAACATTTTAATGTGAATGTTGCATTTAAATTTGTAGCTTAAAATATGCAAACAAACTCTGTCTCGAGGTCGCANTATTTAACCAACTAACCCAACTAAATATGTTTTAAATTTGTAGCTTAAAATATGCAAACAAACTCTGTCTCGAGGTCGCATTCTGTTGAAACCGAATGGGTTACAAAACTGCGTACTCCGAAATTTTTTAAAAATTCGGATCAAAAAGTAGACTTTTTTTAATTTTTTCAATTTGTATAAATTTTCTAGAAAGTTTGAGACTTCAACTTTTGTACATGTTTTTTTTGTATATAATAAACTATATTTTTATAAAAAAAAATTAGTTAAGTAAGTAAAGAAAAAAAAACAAATCAAAACCAAGTCCATGGTGCTTTTAATATTTAATAAACATCCGAAAACATAAAAACGTTTGAAATAAATCACGTCTAATTTTTTTACATTTTTCACTTGGTTGCTGAGAAGTAATGAAGAATGTAAAATTTATAAGGGAAAACTATTGTTTTTGTAAGTTTTATCTTAATATCTTAGAAAGCTTGTAGTCTTATTGAAAAATTATATCTGAACGTAAGATACTAATTTTAATAGCCTTTAATGTGATATATTGTTCTGTTTAGAACAATTAACGCATTCCATCGATATTACCAGCCAAAGTTTCATTTTCAAAATTCATACACTTCGAAGCAAAAGTGCGGCCTAAAAATAAGTTTTAAATTAATCTTTCAATTGGCTTAGACTAAAGACAACATCAAATTACTATTACAATACCGTCAAATGCCTTTTATTTTCCCACATATAAAATCGACACAACCTACTTCATAATACATATATACCTATTACATATAACTGTTTGGCTTCGGTTTATTTAAAAGAACATAAAAGTTTATCACAGTCTTAAAGTAATCATATAATATTGTGACTATGGCCCTTAATGTATCATTTGAATGGAACGTAATTTTCTCCAATTTACACTTTATACCCAACTAATCAAAATTCCATGGCAAATTGAAAAATTCCAACCCTAACCAATTGGCAGTCAAACAAAACACAGGAAAACTTTTTCAGTTACCATTTCGGCTATTTTATTTCATGCCAGCGAGTGTCCGCGCACACCGCCGTACCAAGAACGAAAGCAGCCAATTGGCCTTTGTTAAGGCGGGCCGGCATATTTGCGGAACCAAAATAAATTCCGTCATTCTTTGTTTTTTTTTTTTTTTTTGTTTCGCGTAAATTCAAATTAAAACATTACCAACCATTGGCAGTTGAGCAAAACGTAAATTGGCACATAGAAAAGGCAGAAAATGGGAGGATTTTAGAGTGAAATTAAATTAAAATATGCAACAATGTTTTGCCGACTCACCTTGTATTGCGGCCAGTAGGAGAAGCAGCTGCAGGCCAAAGCCGACTGCGCCACCGCCGAAGCGCGACCGTCGTGCTGGCGCGTACATTTTGTTAGCGCTGCAGCTGTGTATGGATGTATGGGTGTGTGGGTGTGTGGGTGCGCGTTCGATCACTTGATTGTGGCTGCTCTACTTTGCCGGCGTTTTTTTTTCACTTCAAGTATTCGTTTAATTGCGCTGAATTAATTCGCTACACCACAAAGGCGTCCAAGCGCGCAAGCCGGTAAATCCTCGTCCTACTGATTTGTGGGGTAGAATCTACTTAGTCGCTTGGGACGTAAATTTAAATAAATTGGAAAATACGCGCGCGAAAAATGCGAACCGCACACAAACGTTAGACGCGACGTGAATTTAGCGCAAAACGCGGTTGGGACGTCTCAAAGTAGTCTTTATCGGCACTGGCAAGCGTTTAAAGTCTTTATCAACGTTCACTGGGAACATTATCCCAGTGGACAATTTTTTATTTTTTTTTGCCAATTTTAAGCATCTATTTTTCCGGTTAACTTAAAATCGTTGCACATTTCCGAATCTCATAAAATTGTTTTTGCTTTTTACATTCCGGCTGCGCTCTCAACTAAATATGTACCTAATGTGCTGACTTGGCGCAATCATCTACAAATGGAGTTTGCACAAAAACTTGTGAGGTGTGTGTGTTGGTGGTTACCTATATACACACATACATATTTATGTATGTGCACACGCAAGCCAAGCAAAGATTTCATCAAATTAGTGCTGGTGAAATACCAGAAAAATGTTCAGTTTAAAAAACACTCACGGGACTAATAACGCAAAATGCTTTTCTTTTTGCGCTGTCTCTAAATACTTTCGCTTCTCTGCTGCGTTTTGTTCGCTTAGTTTGCTGTGAATTGCTGTTGGCAGCAGAATGTGCTGGTTGCTGGCTGCTGGCGGGGTGGCGTGTGTTGGTGTATGCGAAGCTGTTGAGCGTTGGGTAAGTAGATCAGTTAGTTGGCTGGCCGTTTGAAGCACACGCCAACCAAGTCATTCACCGTTCGTGCTCGCGCGCCACATTTTGTTTGGTGTGCACCTCGCAGCTCGTTGCCTACTTCTGGGCGCCGTAACCGCTTAACTCAACATCAAGTGGTCGTCGTCGTCGTCGTCGCCACCGTCGTTGCTTTTGTTGCTGCCGTTGAGTGGCTGGCGTAGGTGTGATTTTTGTTTTAATTTTTTTTTTTTGCCTTTTTTTTTGTTGTCACTCTGTTGCTTTGGCTGTTTGTGATGTGATTTTTTGCTAACTTTTGCACTTTTGTTTAGTCGTACAACACCGTTGCTTCTGCTCTGCCGCCGTTTTGAGCACACAATTGCGCTGTTTTCCTTTTTTTATTGAAAGGTAAACCGAGTTTCAATTTAGGCGAATGCGTTCAAATGGGTCAAAGTGAATTTCTTTTTGGTATTGTTTGGTTTCATTCTATTATTCGTTTTTTGGGCAAGTTTGGTTTGCGTTACATCAAAAAAAAAGTACTGCATTGATTTTATGACTTATGTGATCTAAACTTAGTTCGCAGTTCATAGTTATTTGGGTAGCTCGCAGCTGGGTACTTTTGCTATAAAAACTTCATTGAACCCGCACTTAGTAAAAGATTTTGTAAAAATTTTGTTTTGTAAGGCTAGTTTTCGAACCTCTCAGCTAACTGTGCTTCATTGTATCTTCTACAAACTATTCGCTCTGCTTTTGCCCACGCCACAGCGCCCTTAGGTATGCAACGAAATTATGCAAATATTAATCATAGTTATTGATAACTTCAGCGCCTTTCATACCGACATTGATGTGTCGCTTTCACATACTTTGTGGCGTTTAATATGTGTTGGAATTTTTTTGGTGTATCCTATTAGGCATTTAATGTATTTCATTCGCAAAACCTTCCTCTGTCACATTTTACTACATCAAAATTCATGGTACACATGCACTTACAGCATCACAAATCTTTAGAATATATTTTCATATGTCATATTATTGCCTACATCTAGACATTCAAACCACAAACCTCAATAACTTTTATCAAACTCAACACACTTTAAATTTTTAATTTGTCAAACCCGCACGATTTCGCATTTTTCATGTCATCTTATGCGTCTCACACCCCTTAACTGTTGTCACATGACTCTCCGCTTACTTCATTTGGTGCGCGCCCAAAAGTATGCCACCATTTATAAAACATGCTTATTTCAACAATATTTCACTTCAAGCATAAATGGCTTTCAATTTATATCAATGTCGCAGCCAACTTCCACTTCTATTTTCTTCTTTTTTCACCTGCTTCACAAGCACACTTGTTTTTGCTTTGGTTTTATTTTTTTTTTTTGTTCAACCTCTCTTCTTATTTCAACTGCAGACGCTGCTGCTGTTTGGTGTAAATCTCATTTACTTATTTCTGCTGAGCAGGCATGCTGTGCGCTGCACTCATGCCTGGATGTCATTTATCTTTTAACGCCTAGTAGGTATGTATGTATGTATGTATGATAGCGCTCAACTCCGCAATGTAGGCAACGGCTACCACAACTAGCTGCCTAGCTTGCCTGACTTTGTAGCAAGCAAGGCTCTATTTTAGCTCTATTAAAATACTTAACCCTCATCAGTGTCAACACAAAGAGGCTTCACCTGATGGAAGTCCACACGTGCATATGTACGAATGTATGTGTATAAAGTTTAGCTGTTGCCTACTTTTAGGCTATTAAAGTGCGATATTTAATTGATTTATTTAATTTTCTTTCGTACCGTTTGAACTTCACTTTCAACACTTATTTGCTTGCTGTGTTTTTTTTTTTTTGTTTTTTGTTTCCTCTCACAAAATTACAAATTGATTTCGCTTGCAATTAATTTTTACGCGAACGCGCGCGGCTACGTGCAACACATTTGACACACAATATGAAACTACTAAATTGCTACTGGCTCCAACTGCGGCCATAGCTAACAGCCTGCCACAGCCAAGACAGCTGCTATTTCGTGGCAAATTTGAAAACCAGCACGAGATATCGGCGGTGAGGGCTGTGTTGTGTTCAAAAAAACGAGTGCACGAGCCGTTCAAGAATCGTTGCGCTAAAGGCAGCCGAAGCAAATATTTTCCAAGAACGAACAAAAAAAGTTCGAATATTGTGCAAGTTAAGAGTACAGCAAGAGCGTGAAAAAAGAGAATGGTTAGCAAGTGAAGAGCAGGAAGTTCGAAAATACGCGTACGTACAAGAAAAACGGAAGTTGGATGTCAATATCCTCGCAAGCCGGCAAACAATTCTAATTGCTTGCCAAAGATGATGTAAACACGGCGTTTAAAATTTTTGCTCAGTTTGTGGAAATACAATAAAATAAAAAATTGGATATAATAAAATTAAATTAAAAAATGCAAATTAAAATTATTTATTTCCTACTTTTGGTCTAAGTCTAGGGGCGGCAAATGCACGAGTATGTCGCAGGGCAATTAATTTTTAAGTCAATAATTTTATGTGCATATGAGTCAGAATTTCTGAAACGGGCCACTTCAACTATGTGATATTTTATTTCCAACCAGCAGTGGTATTTTTTTATACCTAATTTTGATTTTATAAAAAAAATATATATTTTTCTCTCAAGTGTTTTTTGTCCTTTTTACTTCAAAATTCAATTACAGACGATCTAATTGACCGATTTTGGTAATTGAACCGTAAATTTCATTATTATTAAAAACTCTTCAACGTAGGTTTTATTTCTTAAAAAGGAATTTTTAAGGGTAAATGTTTATAAAATTGTTTACTCAAAATGTAAAAATTACAGTCTTCTCCACCACTTTTTCACACAGAAAAAAACCATATATGCAAAATTTTACTCTCGAAAATATTCTTTTGAGAAAAAAATGTATCGCAAGGTGGAAAACCGTTATTTTTACTTGAAGGCTGTCGAGCAATGCAACAATCGTGCCGTGTATCTTGGTCAACAGCGTGCCCTCGCTGGTTTTTTTTCCATTTGGCAGAGTCAATAATAAATAGAAATAGATTTTAGTAAAAACTTAAAATTTTTCAATTCAATTATTGAACAAATATCTGTAATATTCAGAAAACAAAGTAACTCATTTGTCGTATTTAAAGATAAAATAAATATACTTCACATACAGTGACGAACAAACGTTTTGGCGCAGAAAATTTTTCGCAATACATATGCAAAATTTTTCGTCCTATTTTTTTTTTTGTTTTGATAATTTGTTGAAAAAATATGTATAGCTCATACTACACCAAAAAACATAAAATCGAAGTCTCTAAAATTTGTGCAAAACTAAGGAAAATTCAATAAATTCAATAAATTCAAATTTTTCGAAAAATTCTACAATTGCAGTTTTATAGCCCATTCAATTTTAGCATAACAAAGTTCAAGTTTAAATTTGCTAAAAAATCGCGTTGATTTTCGGCAATTTTTTTGCGGACGTTCTTTCATACAAAAAAAAATATGTCGAGCATACTCTGTATGGAAGAAACGCCCCCAGATTTTTTTTGTTTAATACTAAGAATTTTCAAGTATGTATATTTGTGTAGGTAAATTTTCTTTACTATGCGCGTGCAGCATAAGAAACTTCTACGTATATTTCTAAGCAAATTTTCCGAAGGAACCACGGGTATCAAATCAATCTGGAGTTGGCCAAATTGCAAAAACAGGCTGCGAAGAAAATGTGAAAATTTTTACTGTTGGTGGAAGTTTTAAGAAAAGATATGTACAGAAATTGATTCCGGATACCAAAAAACCCCTTATAGCATGTTGTTATACATACAAAATTTAAGCACTTTACGCCACTGCAGCAAAATGCTAAGACACCTATTTTTGGAATTTGGCAAACTCCAATTTGATTTTAGACCCATGGAGTTTCCTTAGAATTATACGTAGAATCCTACGGTTCTATACGCGCATAGTCGAAAAAATACCTCTGCGAAGCCAAGTAGTGACTAGCCAACCTAACCTAATCGAAAGATTAACAATAGAAAATCGCAGAAGTTTTGTGAGTATGTTATATTTTTTGAAATAAATATCCATTATATTATGCTGATTTTCTTGTCCAAAAATTTTTGCAAAAAGTAATATTTTATTCTCGATTTTCATCAGTTCAGCCTTGTGCATTAGAGAGCTGTGAAATTTATACTTGCAAAAAAAAAGCACTTTTAATTTAATTTCACGCCATGTTCTAATAGTTGTTTTTAATTTTCGCAAAACCTTAATTCAGTCTATGAAAAATTTTCCAATTTCGCCAACACGACTATATTTTTTTATTGCTGTAGGTCAGTTCGTTAAGATTTCAAACTTGCTTCGGGTTACCTAAGTATATTCAGACAATTTCAACAGTTGTAAACATTTTTTTTTAGCAGCAGCAATTCTCTTATACCTGTAAACGAGAGTTAAACAGCATTCGGAAGACAGCATGTCCTTCCTTTTATAGCATGCTAAGAATATTTTCGAATTCACCACACTAGCATTCAGAGAAAAAATCCTTAAATTTCTCTTCAAAATGAGTTTAGGTTATCTGCATATAACATTGACATTGCTCTTTTGCAGAAAACGTATGCACATTAGGGTGGTCCAAAATAAGTAAAGTCGGATTTTTAATGCTTTCATTCCCTAGGATTATTCTTATCGAAAAAATATACCCCTCTTTTTTTATTTTGCAATCAAAAAATATTTAGAGGTCGCTCGAAGCGCTCAAAGTTTTCCCTGTATTTTATACAGCTTTTCGTGCAAATGGCATGAAATTCTCGAAAATCAATATTTTTCTCTAAAAAAACTCTGGTTCTCATCAGAAGACTTCCAATAACAATACCCAGTTTTTTATTTAAACATTTTTTAGTACTAAAGATTCTCTTCAACAATATGAACGTAGTCTCATGCAGTGTTGCCAGGTCACTGAAGTGAGAAATCGTCAGTTTGGTGCTTGCATGTAAAAATCGTGAACATTCTTACGAATTATTAAAAATCACATTAATTAAAAAACAATATTTAATTGCAATAAAATCGCATTTCCATCTCCATTTTTAGATTAGTAATGCCCGGCTATCAGCCTGTGAAAATTTAAAATTACGCCATTTTGCTCCGAAAATTAAACATTTTAAATTTAGGAGTCTGATAAATTTAGAATTTATTAGTGAAACTTTGGATAAGTCGTATAACATTTGTTTTTTCACAAAGTTTTTTCTCTAGTACATATTATGTTTTACAGCTTTCTAGAAAAATCGCAAGAATTTTTTTCATTATTCTTGTTGCTTGAAAAAGAACTTTGTCGTTGGTGTGAATTTTCTTGAAGAACTAAATATACGAGCGTGTTTTTCTTGAGATCTTCTCAAAACAAGGACAACCATTTTCTTTTAATAAGTCCAGTGTGAACAAAATTCACTTAAAAGTTGAGTTTTCTTGCAAAGCAGCATCTTCTTTCCCGACAGCTGAGGTAAAAAATACATCAAATATTTGCCAACTGCAAATTTACCATGTGCATTAAAAACTGTTCAATATAATATTTATCAGTACACAACGCAAAAACTAAGAATTTGACCCCAACAACTACACAAATAGGGATGAAACAAAGAAGAAAACTGGCTATCGACAACTACTGTTAGTGCTGCCACAGGATATAATTTGTAAATTATGTGTTAGCAGAAATGGTAAACAAGTGTTTGCACTGCAATTTTTAGTTGCCTGTGTAGCTATGTATCTTCAAAGTTGAGAACCAAATGTAAAATCGTCATTGGGCAAAAAAATCGTCAAATCGTCATGGCCGTAAAAAATCATCAAAATGACGACCAAATCGTACAACTGGCAACACTGGCCTCATGTTTTAAATTTTTTCTGAACATGAATCAACATTTTTGCATCCTATTAACTGACGAAGATGTACATATAAGACAGCTCATAATTAGCGTTATTTTTAAAGACATAAACACTTTCTACATTTGTGGTGTTAAAATCTTCTCTATTCACAAAATAATTCATACATAGATGAGATGTCGGGTATGGCGTCCCATCAAAAGGCGATTATTATGCTTTTGCAAGTTATACATTTTATTAATCATTTACATATGTATACACAAGCTTTATATAAATACATTCATGCTTAATATAAAGTACTCCTTTTGTATGAGTGATTATGGTCAAAATTGCACGTCGTTTTATTTTCTCCCTCAACAACGATAAATAGTGCAAGGGAAAGTTTTTAATTGAGACAGTTTATTTACGCAGGTAAATGTGCTAGTTACTCGTTTCCATTTTGAAAGATTCTTTCTTATAAAATAGGTATGCACAACGAAGTTTAAAGTTGTGTTCCACACGCTACTTTCATAAGAACTTTATTAGTCTTTTTCCACTTTTCCACTGGCAACCTGGTGCTTCGCTGTTATTGTGCTATTTATTACGTTGTGTTGATATCATTTGCTACTTTTAACGTACTTTTATTCATGTGAGTTAAGTTAGAAGTTGCAAAGAACTACTAAGTACGATGAAAATACAGCGCCTCGTTTATACTGCGTTGTAGCTCTGATTTGGATAGAGTTTAGTAAGCTGCTGAAACAAAAATAAGCGGACACAGATTTTCTTTCGGTTTCCCTTTTATTTTTTATTTTTATTTTTATTTTTGTAAATAGCTCCATTTTCGATAAAATAATTAATTAGAATTGCTGCATTCTGGTATATAAATAAACTAGGTGACTAGATTTATTCGATTGTAAGAACTAGGTTTACTCGGTATTCAAAAAATCAAGATTTAAAAAAACAACGCATAAAAATGTTCAAAAACAAGTAAAAAAGTTTTAAGTTCGGGCGAGGTCGAACATTAAATACCCGGCGCAAGTATTCAATATAGTTTTTTCACCTTTCCCAAAACCACAATTGCGTGGTAAGCAGTGTAGTTTCACCCC